GTCCTGGGGCGTCACTTCCCACCTACAGACCATGGCAGAGCTGCCCAGCAGCCATTGCTTAGCGCCGGCACCTGGCGCGCCGACCCCTCGGCCCTGGCACCACCCCGGGGCCTGCGCCGCACCCGGCAAAGAACTTCCCTCAGGCTCACTGGGGGGGGGGAACCCGGCTCCATCAGTCACTGAAAGCAGCAGCTCCCTGCTCGTCGGGGCCTTCACCGCGTGGCCGCCCTCAACCAGCTGCTGCCTCTTCCCAGGGCCAGGCGGGCTCCGTGCCAGGCTCCTCCTGGGCTGCCACCTCCTGACAGCTGAACTCAGCCCCTGGTCCCCGGCTCCTTGCCAGGCTGGTTCCAGCGAGAGCAGCTGCTGGGTGACCTTAGCAGCTCACTGGGCGGGAGGCAAGGAGCGGCACAGCTGCTGCGGGTACTGCCAGGGCTGCACCCCCAGCCTCCAGCTGCCAAGCCAAGGGTCCTTGCTCTGCTGCTGCCAGGCTGTGCCCGCTGGCCCCGGGCATGGGGGTGCTGGGGACACAGGGTGCCAGGGCATGGGGGTGCTGGGGACACAGGGTGTGCAGGGCATGGGGGTGCTGGGGACACAGGGTGTGCAGGGGGGCAGCTCTCCAGCTCCAGGTTGGACTCTTCCATCCGCGTTCTCGGGAGATAAGCAAGGAGGCAGGAACACGAAGCCCACAGGGGAGCCAGGGAGACCTGCTCCCTCTGCAGATGCCCGGGGCGGGGGGCATGCTGCCACTGCCCCGGGCTCCCTCAGCCTAGGGCGCATGGGCACGACCTGGCAGACCCAGCCCACAAGCAGCATCCGCTTGTCAGGGAGAAGGGAGGGGAGGTGGGATGGGGCCGTGTCCTTGCAGGGGAAGGAATTTTAATCAGCTGCCTGGCTGACTATTACCAAGGTTCAAGGGAATCTCCTTGATAAGGTCTCAGGGCTGGAATAGCAGGGGTCTGTGGGTCAGGAATGAGGGGGGGTAGCAGGGGGCTGCGGGTCGGGCGTGAGGGGCACAGGCTGTAACCTGTTCAGGAAGGACGGAGGGGCCAAGGGGGGCGGGGGGCTCTGTACCAAACACCACTGCTGGGCCTGAGTCACCGACAACTCCGGGGGGGGCTCATGGCCCCATGTCCCAGCAGAGGGTTTCTCACTCTGGGGGTTGCAAGGCTTGTGTAGGGGGGGTCGTGCGTGTGGCAGTGGCTGCCCAGTGCCCAGCTCTGCCAGCAGCAGCGTGGAAGTGTGGGGGGTTGCTTTTTACGGGGGGTCATCACAGCCTGGAGTATTTTCGAAGGGGTTTCCAGCCCCCTGTCCGAGCAGCTCAAGCACCAGCAGGATCACACAGGAACAGGCCGTCTTGGTGTAGGACAAAACTGGGCAATCCTGGGGCCCTTCGACAGGAGGGACGTGCTCTGGGGCTCCCGCTGCCAGGGCTCAAACCTCCATTCGAGTGACAATCTCCTGACTCAGCACGTGCAGCTGACACTGGGCTCTGCCTTAGACCTTGTCCTGACAGACACAGAGGGACCCGTGGCAGAGCTTCGGGACAAGTGCTCAGGGCTTGATCCCATTTCGAATGTGGAGCAGAACAAAGTCCAGCCCAGTAACATGGATTCACACTTGGTGCTTTAATGGGGCCAATTCCACAGAGCTGGAAATCATTACGAGCCAACTCAGCTGGGAAGAATGTAACAGGAAAACGGGAATGCTCATTGGGAATCGTTCAAGAACCCTGCACTCAATGCCCCCAAAGCCTCAATCCCACAACTGAGGAAGGCGGCTGCGGTGGTTACCAAACCAACCTGGCTTAGACAGGAACTCAAGGCAGCTGTAAAAATAAAAGAATCATATCTAAGCACGGGAAGAGAGGGAAGGGGGCAGCAAAGAATACAAGTCAGAAGATGGGACTTGTTGAAAACAGATAAGGGAAGCCAAGGGACACGCGGAGAAGTCTACGGCCATCAGAGTTAAGGACAATAAGAGTTGTTTAAATATATTAGGACTAAAAGGATCCTGGCAGCCGTATTGGTGATCTCTCTCTTTCCACTCCACTAGCATCTCTGGAGGATGTTCAACAGGAGCTACTACAGTCAGACATTTTGAAATCATCTGGGTCAGATAACTTGGATGTAAGAGTTTTAAAAGAGCTGGCTGAGGAGCTCACTGAGGTGTTAATGCTGATTTCTGACAAGTCCCGGAGCCCTAGGGAAGTTCCAGACCGTCATAAAGCTCCTGTTGTGCCCGTTGTTAGAAAGGGACGACCAGGGTAATTACAGGCCTGTCAGCCTGACGTTAATCCCAGGCAAGGTAATGGAGCAGCTGATACAGAACTCGATTAATAAAGAATTAAAGGCGGGTGATGTAATTAATGCAAATCAACATGGGCTTATGGAAAACAGATGGCGTCAGACTGACTGGAGCTGACAAGCGTGCGGCTGCAGGGAACGGTGGTGACAGTCTAATTAGATTTCTGCAAAGCCTCTGACGGGTGCTGCGCGGCGTTTTGTTCCCAAGATTAGAACAATATACAATGACCGACCGTGGCCCACATTACACGGATTAGAAGCCGGCTCACTGCTAGGTCTCAACATGGAATTGGAAATGGGGAATCGTCATGGGGCTGTGCCAGGGGGGTCCTACAGGGTCGGGGCTTGGCCCTTCGCTATTTAACATTTGTACCAATGACCTGGAAGAAAACAGCAACTCGTCACCAGTAGAGTTTGCAGATGGCCCCCAAAGTGGGGCCGTGGGAAATCGCGCAGAGGGGCAGCGCTCGAGACAGACAGGAGTTTGGACGGGAAGGGGAATTAACGCTGGGCCAGTTTCCAGAGGCCGCAGCGGGGTCTCCAGGCCGGGCCATGGTTCGGAGGGAGCGGATGATGCTAACGGGGGCAGGGCACTGCCCTCTGTTGGCCGGGGTCAGACTAGGGGTCACACTGCGTCCTGCTGGCCTGGGGCTCGATGGAGCAGCTGCCCAGCCCACTTGGCATGTCATCAGAACAGGGTCACGTGCCAGCAACTCGGCCACTGCCTGACGCGTGCTGCCAGCCTCTGGGGTGACTGCCACGGCCCCCTCCTCCAGCCCCCGCCCCGGGCGCAGCCACACCTGGGAGCCACACGCAGCTTCTATCTAGAACCCAGCACGTTCAAAGCAGCCTGCACCCCTCCCTGCCCCGCTCGGCAGCCCCCTCCCTGCCCCCCAGGCCCGGGAAAGAGACAAAGGCCAGAGGGGGACGGAGGCTTGGCTGGTGGCCACTCAGGGGGGAAAAGGGCTCCAAGGCTCTGGATGGCCTTGGCTGAAAGTCGCGGATTTCTGTGCTAACGAGCTCTGCCCCACACTGGGTTCCTGTTTCCCTGGCTGGCTGAGAGTCACGTCTGCCGGTGGAGTTGGGGCGCACGGCGAGAACAGGGGCTGATCGCATTGCGGTCGGTCGCAGGAGGCTTCCCCTAGCAGAGTGCGCCCCAAGGGGAGCCCCGCTGGTGAGGGCCCTGAGGGGGTTCCAGGGCGCGGCGCCTGGCTCGGTGCCAGCCCATCACTGTGGCTGCGGCCCGGCCAGCGCGTGCGGTGCCAGCTCCCGGGGGCCGCAGCCATTCAGCCTGGTCCGTGTGCCCGGGGCCTTTGAGCGAATTGTGTGTGAATCTGCCCTGCGGTCCCTGCGCGCCGCGAGGCAGTTCCCGGGGGGCTGCTGCCCAGTGCTGCGCTGCATGGAACCAACTGACACACTCTTGGGGGAGCCGGCGCTGGGCCCCGAGACCCCCGTTGCGCATGGGGGACCCCTCAGCACCACACAGCCGGGGCAGGGCCTGCTGCCCAGCGGGGGCTCGGGAGGAGACGCAGACAGGCAGGGCAGCTCCGTGGGGCTCCCATCTACCCAGCTGGTGCCACCGGGCAAAGGGCCAGGCAGAGCCGAATGCAGCCCCTGGCGCCGGCCCAGGCTGGTCATTCACCCCCAGTGTCTCCTGAGCCGGGGCCCCCAGCCTGACAGCCTCTGTCTGTGGAGTTTCACCTGCCGCCCCCCTCCACGGCTGGTCCCCCCTGCTCCCAGCTGGGGGTGTCCCCAGGACAGGCCATTCTCAGAGCCCGCTGGCTCAGGGACCCACCTGGCCCCAGGGGACGGCCTGTGGCCCTTGTTCACAGCCAGGCTGCTCACGGCGGCCGCTGGTCTCAGCCCATGTCAGACAGGCTGTGCTGGGCATGGCACGGGGCCCCCAGGGGCTGGCGGTTCCGAGGGGGGGCTCGGCGGGGGAGAGCGGGGCAGGGAGGGTTT